GCGATCAGGGCTTTTTTACGCAAAAGCATCTGTGCCAATCTAGACGCACTTTTGCGGAAATACTTTTAACGGAAAAACTTTTCCGTTAAAAGTATTTCCACAAAATCATGCCAGTCTAGATGCAGCCTAAATGAATGGCTCAGGTTTGGGAATCTCCCCGACTTCCTCAGCCGTGAAGCCTGAAGCAAAGAATTCATTTTGTTTCCATGCAATGACCTTATTGTGAAGGGCTTCTTTAGCTTCCCGATCGCCAGGGCCCCCACTGGTAGTTTAGCCGGCTTCCTGCTTCTAATGCACTTAAAAAACATTTTATTATTACCTTTGGGCTGTGTCTAGACTGGCCACTTTTTTTCGGAAAAGCAAATGCTTTTCCGTAAAAACTTGCCAGCTGTCTACACTGGCCACTTGTATTTCCACAAAAGCACTGATGATCTCATGTAAGATTGTCAGTGCTTTTGCGGAAATACTGTGCTGCTCCTGTTCGGGCAAAAGTCTTTTTCCGAAAAATGTTTGCGCAAAAGGGCCAGTGTAGACAGCAGAGATTTGTTTTCCGCAAAAAAGCCCTAATCGAGAAAATGGCCATCAGGGCTTTTTTGAGGAAAAGCGTGTCTAGATTGGTCACGGACGCTTTTCCGCAAAAAGTGCTTTTCTGGAAAAGCGTCCTGCCAATCTAGACGCCCTTTTCCAAAAATGCTTTTAACGGAAAACTTTTCCGTTAAAAGCATTTCTGGAAAATCATGCCAGTCTAGACGTAGCCTTGGAGTTTTTGGCTAGTTGTTCTTCAACCTCCTTTTCTTTTATTATATTTTTACACTTAATTTGACAGAGTTTATACCCCTTTCTATTGGCCTCACTAGGATTTAACTTCCACTTTTTAAATGATGTCTTTTTCTCTCTCACTGAGGGTACACCAACTCATCTAGACATTTGACTAGTTTTACAACTTAAAAAGCACCAGCAACGTCAGTACAAACTGAAATTTCATGCAGACAATGACTTGTTTATACTGCTCTATACACTGAAATGGTAAAAGTGAAATTGTAAACAATTTTTCAGTAACCGTGTGCTGTGACACTTGTGTATTTTTATGTCTGATTTTGTAAGCAAGTCATTTAAATGAGGTGAAATGTGATGGTACTCAAAACAAATCACACTCTTGAAAGGGGGTACAGTCGTCTGGGAAGGTAGGAAGCTGGTGATCTACACCATCCCTGCCAGGTGTCTGTTTAACCTGCTTTTAAAAATCTCCAGTGACGGAGATTCCACAACCGCTGTAGACAATTTATTCCAGTGTTAAACCACCCTGACAGTTAGGAAGTTTTTCCTGATGTCCAACCTAAACCTCCCTTGCTGCAATTTAAGCCAATTGCTTCCTGTTCAATCCTCAGAGGTTAACAGGAACAATTTTTCTCCCTGCTCCTTGTAACAACCTTTTATGTAGTTAAAAAGTGTTATCATGCCCCCTGAGTCTTCTCTACTCCAGAATAAACAAATGCATTTCTTTCAGTCTTCCCTCACAGGGCATGTTTTCTAGACCTTTAATCTCTTCTCTCGACTTTCTCCAGTCTGTCCATGTCTTTCCTGAAATGTGGTGCTAGGGAGTGACTAGTTACTAGTGTAAGTGACTAGTTGACTAGTCGACTATCCAATAAGCATAAGCTTATCAGATAGTTGAGTAGTGACTTGACTAGTCACTTCCCCCACCTCCGCTGCCTCTATCAGAGAGAGGTGGCAGGTGGGTGGAGCAGGAGCTGGTGCTGGGAGGAGATGGCTTAAAAGGGGCTGGGGTAGCTGCGAACAGGGGCTGTTGGATTGAACAGAGCTGGGCATGTGCTGATCTGGGACGCTGTGCATCAGCCTGGTGGCTCCCACTACATTCAAAATGTAGAGCTGCAGGGTGGTTGGCTCCCGGAGCCAGCACGAGCTGGGACTGTAATCCCAATCCCTGCCACCCATTCCCGCTTTCAGGCAATCAGGCTAGGGAGACTCAGAGCATGGGGTGCATCCCTGAGCACCTTGGCTAATAGCCATTGAGGGACCTGTCCTCCATAAACAGGGCTAGTTTTCTTTTTAATTCTGTAAGGGTCTGTCTACACTACCCCGCTAGTTCGAACTAGCGGGAGTAATGTAGTCATCCACAATTGCAAATGAAGCCCGGGATTTGAATTTCCCGGGCTTCATTTGCATGAAGCCGGCCGGCGCCATTTTTAAATGCCGGCTAGTTCGAACCCCGTGCCGCGCAGCTACATGCGGCACGGAGTAGCTAGTTCGGATTAGGCTTCCTATCCGAACTAGCTGTACTCCTCATTCCACGAGGAATGAGGAGCCTTCTGCCAGTTTTCAGGCCACTGGGCAGTATTCTTGTCTAAGCCTCTTGGGCTTGTTTAAGGGAAGATAGATGAGATGATGCAAGAAATGCATTCCAAAAATCTGGATGTATTACACGTGCTGCATTCCTAGCACCACGCATCTGAAAAGCAGACAGGTTGGAATGGTTTGTATTTAATCCTGCTGATTATTTCTCCATTCACGCGTAACTGTTTACATAGTTTCTGTTATAAATCCCGACCTGTTATGTGACCTGCTTTAGCAGAGGGTCGTTGCTGGGATTCCAGACTCTGGGAGAACTATAGGAGGGCAAGGGATAGTGTGTGTGCTGGAAAGGAAAAGAAAGGGTTCGACGGTGGGACAAGAGGGGGTAGGGTTGTTGACAGGGGGCTGGCCAGACTTCAGGCAAAGCCAGAGAGAGATGCTGTGGGATTTCACCTTGTGGCACAGTTGGCCTCACCAATGCATTCATGTTGCATGGCCCATGCCGTGCCTTGAAAAGCTCAGCAGTGCGTTCGTGCTCTATGGCCGATGCAGTGCCATGAACAGCTGCACCAGTGCGTTCGTGCTCTCTGGCCGATGCAGTGCCATGAACAGCTGCACCAGTGCGTTCGTGCTCTCTGGCCGATGCAGTGCCATGAACAGCTGCACCAGTGCGTTCGTGCTCTCTGGCCGATGCAGTGCCATGAACAGCTGCACCAGTGCGTTCGTGCTCTCTGGCCGATGCAGTGCCATGAACAGCTGCACCAGTGCGTTCGTGCTCTCTGGCCGATGCAGTGCCATGAACAGCTGCACCAGTGCGTTCGTGCTCTCTGGCCGATGCAGTGCCATGAACAGCTGCACCAGTGCGTTCGTGCTCTCTGGCCGATGCAGTGCCATGAACAGCTGCACCAGTGCGTTCGTGCTCTCTGGCCGATGCAGTGCCATGAACAGCTGCACCAGTGCGTTCGTGCTCTCTGGCCGATGCAGTGCCATGAACAGCTGCACCAGTGCGTTCGTGCTCTCTGGCCGATGCAGTGCCATGAACAGCTGCACCAGTGCGTTCGTGCTCTCTGGCCGATGCAGTGCCATGAACAGCTGCACCAGTGCGTTCGTGCTCTCTGGCCGATGCAGTGCCATGAACAGCTGCACCAGTGCGTTCGTGCTCTCTGGCCGATGCAGTGCCATGAACAGCTGCACCAGTGCGTTCGTGCTCTCTGGCCGATGCAGTGCCATGAACAGCTGCACCAGTGCGTTCGTGCTCTCTGGCCGATGCAGTGCCATGAACAGCTGCACCAGTGCGTTCGTGCTCTCTGGCCGATGCAGTGCCATGAACAGCTGCACCAGTGCGTTCGTGCTCTCTGGCCGATGCAGTGCCATGAACAGCTGCACCAGTGCGTTCGTGCTCTCTGGCCGATGCAGTGCCATGAACAGCTGCACCAGTGCGTTCGTGCTCTCTGGCCGATGCAGTGCCATGAACAGCTGCACCAGTGCGTTCGTGCTCTCTGGCCGATGCAGTGCCATGAACAGCTGCACCAGTGCGTTCGTGCTCTCTGGCCGATGCAGTGCCATGAACAGCTGCACCAGTGCGTTCGTGCTCTCTGGCCGATGCAGTGCCATGAACAGCTGCACCAGTGCGTTCGTGCTCTCTGGCCCATGCAGTGCTATGGACAGCTTCACCAGTGTGTTCATGCTGCATGGCCCATGCCATGCCGTGATGGGCTGTGCCATGCCTTCTTGCCACTAATGTGGGCTCTGTAACAGAATCCCTGGCTCGTGCCTGCCAGGGGAGCCCCCGTGCAGCGAGGACGGCGAGGACGGCTAGCCATTCAGCATGGAGCAGTGTAACACATTATACCATGGGGCCTTGTGAATCACAGATCTGCTGAAATGAAAAGCCAAGGAAAGGGGAAAACTGCTGCATGCGAGTGGCTGGGCTCCAACCATAACACGGAAGGTGCAGCCCTGGGCAGGGAGGTGCGTGTCTGAGACCCATGCTCCCTGGACATGCAGTCCCCAGGCAAACGCCATGGCCTGTGCCCAGGCAGCCCACTCTGACACCCGCACCCCCTGGACAGGCACCTGGCCTGGCAGCGGGGATCACCCAGTGAAGCCCTTGTAGCCGAACAGCAATGGGGAGGTGTGATGTAGTGTCGGTACCTTGCTGGTTGCTATGCTGGGTGGTGGGCTGTGGGTGACCTCCGCTGGCGGCTGTTTGTAGCACGGCCCAGCAGGACAGAGGATGAGTCATTATGCAAGGGGCTCCCAACCTGTGGGACCAGTTGCTTCCCAAGGAGAGAAACAAAGGAAGGAGGGGAGGCCAGCCCCTGGCTGGGGGGCAGGGCTGGAAGGGACGTTTAGTTTCTGGCTGGGATCATGGAGGAAGCAGCCTAAGCAACAGGCTGGGATTTAGGGGCTCAGTCTCCCCCATCTCAAGGGGGGCTGAGGCATCCTAGGCCTGCTCTGTAACTGGATTACATCTGTGCTGTGCTGTATCCTGGAGAAACAACAAATCCCCTCTAGTCTACTGGCTGGTGGAGACTGTTCTTGCTGCTCCGGGGGTGCAAGATCGGGGGGAACCCCGACGCTCTGTCACAGAAGGGTCAATCCATTCGTGGCAGTGGGGAGGGTCAGTCCATTCACGGGAATGGGGAGGGTCAATCCATTCATGGCGGTGGGGAGGGTCAGTCCATTCGTGGCAGTGGGGAGGGTCGGTCCATTCGCAGCGGTGGGGAGAGTCAGTCCATTCACGGCGGTGGGGAGGGTCAATCCATTCGCGGCAGTGGGGAGGGTCAATCCATTCACAGTGGTGGGGAGGGTCAATCCATTTGCGGAGATGGGGCGGGTCAGTCCATTCGTGGCAGTGGGGAAGGTCAATCCATTAGCGGTGGTGGGGAGGGTCAGTCCATTCGCAGCGGTGGGGAGAGTCAGTCCATTCGTGGCAGTGGGGAAGGTCAATCCATTCGCAGTGGTGGGGAGGGTCAATCCATTTGCGGCAGTGGGGAGGGTCAGTCCATTCGCAGCGGTGGGGAGGGTCAGTCCATTCACGGCGGTGGGGAGGGTCAATCCATTTGCGGCACTGGGGAGGGTCAATCCATTCGCGATTGTGGGGAGGGTCAGTCCATTCGCGGCAGTGAGGAGGGTCAGTCCATTCGTGGCAGTGGGGAGGGTCAGTCCATTCACGGGAATGGGGAGGGTCAATCCATTCATGGCAGGGGGGGGGGACAGTCCATCAGTCCATTACGGCGGTGGGGAGGGTCAATCCATTTGCGGCAGTGGGGAGGGTCAGTCCATTCGCGGGAATGAGGAGGGTCAGTCCATTCGTGGCAGTGAGGAGGGTCAGTCCATTCACGGCGGTGGGGAGGGTCAGTCCATTCCAGGGCTTCGGCTGTGATGGACTCCCAGGAGCGTGTGCACACGAGGGGATCTCCG